CTGAGATTTTGCAATGTTTCAGTTCTTCAATTTTTCCATTTTTTGATGTTTCTATTTCTCGGTTTTTCAATTTTTCGATAGATATTTTAATTTTTCAATTTTTAAGTTCTAGATTTTCCGTTAATTTTTTTGTTTTCCTTGATGTTTTGATTTCTCGATTATTCGGTTTTTCAAGTTCTCGCTTTAGATTTTTTGGTTTTCCAATTCTTCGATTTTAAATTGTTTAATTTTTGAATTGTTCAATTTCTCGATTTATAGATTTTTCAATTTTTCGGTTTCCCGATTTTTTTCATTTAAAATGTTCCAATTTTTCAATTTTGGTGTAATTTGAAAACGGTATTAATAATACATTTAGGCGAATAAACTAATAGACGGGCTTGATAAGCCTTATTTGCTCTACAGTGTCTAAATTGTGTTTGAATAATATAATAATTATCTCGAATATTAAAATTAATATGTCAAAAGAATACGAGAAATGATTATTCTCTGCTGAAGGTATGTTGTGGGCCGCCTGTCATAAATTATCATTATTCTGCATTATCGGATTAGGATGTTTTTATGACCCATGTCCATTAGTCGTCTATCCCAGCGCGTCAGGTAGATTTAAAGAAGAAAGAAGATTTTATTACAATGTTGTGAAAAATAGTCTGCACATATTAAAACAAAAGGGCAAAAGGTAAACCCACCCACCTCCCCTATCTCAACTGTGATTTTTTTTATTCGCCATGAACCAAGCTTACTGAAAAATCCGGAGATTAACTGCAAAATCGTTATTTCTCTACGAAAAATTAAAAACATGTTTTTGAGTATCCTGTCCTGCAAAGATTACTACGTGTATTAAATTAACAGGACAAAATATAAACTCCGCCCACCCACCCCGTCTCAACTGTGATGAATTTTTTATTCTTAGAAACTTAACACACGTTTAAAACGGTAAATTTTTGTAAGGAAATATGAATTTTGCGATTAAGCTCCGCCCTTCGATCTGACAAGGAATGAAAAATTGATCATATTTGAGAATTGAGATCGGGACGAGTATTGGTGGGGCCTAATCTTTGGCTTTATTTTTTTCTTAATGTACATAGTATTCTTTAAAAAAACACGATACTCAAAAACATGTTTTTAATTTTTCGTAGAGAAATAAGGATTTTGCAATTATTAAGCTCCGTCCCCTTGGCTTACCATGAATAAAAAAAAAATTATCAGAATTGCAGGGTGGGTGGGCGGGGCTACATTTTGCCTTTTTTTCTTAGTAGGGGAAGCAGGGGTAATGGCGTTTACCGGGCAATGCCGCTCAGCCCAATAACTTGATAAATACGATGCGTAGAAACACGTCACTCGGGCTAAAGCGCGGGAAATGTGATGCGTAAACATGCAGCGCTAAGTAATCTCAGTTCCCTCGCAACACGAGAGAGTCAGGTGCATATGTTTGTTTGCGGCCACACTGATCTAATTTTTCGCCGGATGTTTTTGTCGGTAAATCCAGAATTTTAGTACTTATGTATTATTGGTATTATTATTCTAGATACTAAAACATTCTGTTTAGCGATAACGTAAACACTTTTAAACAATTACTGCTGAATGTTTGAAAATGTCAACTTTTATACAAAACGATCGTTTGGGGTTATGCCACTCAAGTGAACGCCATTACCCCCAAATGATATAATATGTTTTTTTAACAGATATGCCCAGATATCGTCAAAGGACCACCGCCAAAGCGGCTTGGAGCGAAGAAGACCTGCTGCACGCTAAAACTGCGATTGAAAGGGGAATGTCCAAAAGGCAAGCAGCGAAAACACACAACATCCCATTTACTACGTTGAGAGATAGACTAAAGAATGACAACATGAGCAGTCCACAACTGGGTCGTAAGCCAGTTTTTAATCAACAGCAAGAAAGTGAAATAGCCGAACAAGTTAAGTTTCTGGGATCGTTATACTATGGACTGAGCGTCGTAGATTTGCGTAAATTTGTTTATCAATATGCAGAGCTCAATAACATCAAAAACAATTTTGATAAAAGTAGCAAAACAGCAGGATATGACTGGGTACAAGGTTTTATGAGACGCAACCCTTCTGTTGCTGTACGCAAAGCTGAAGCAACGAGCTTAAATAGGGTATCTGCCTTTAACAAAGAAGAAATAACTCATTTCTACAATATGCTTGGTGATCTGATGGAGAAGCATAAGTTCTCTCCCAATAACATTTACAATGCTGACGAAACAGGAATCACAACCGTCACAGATCCAGGAAAAGTGCTTGCAAAAAAAGGCCAACGTAGAGTAGGGGCAGTTACGAGCGGCGAACGAGGCACAAACATTACAGTTATGTGTGCCATGAGTGCGTCTGGGAACTACATACCACCAATGTTCATATTTCCTAGACAGAGAATGACACCATTATTAGAAAAAAATGGACCACCTGGTGCATTGTACACCAACTCCAAGAACGGCTGGATAAATGAACAATTATTTGTCGACTGGCTTCAACATTTTGCAGCATATGTCAAGCCTACGCAAGAATCTCCTGTGCTGTTAATACTTGATAACCATAGCAGTCACATCTCGCTTCCAGCTTTTAACTATTGCAAAGAAAATCACATCGTAGTACTTTCGATCCCACCACACAGCTCTCACAGAACACAACCTCTTGATGTGTCTTTTTATGGACCCCTGAAGGCTGCTTATAGACACGAATGCAACAGGCACATGAAGACACACTTGATGGCTAAAATAACTCCATATGATGTTGCATGTTTATTCAACAAAGCATATGCACAAGTTGCAAATATAAGCAAGGGAGAAGCTGGATTCCGAGCCACGGGAATATACCCTTTGAATCCAAATATTTTTACCGAGCAAGACTTTTTGGCAGCATCGCTGATGGTTCAAGATTCAAACCAACCTACTCAAAACGAAGATGAAAATGTCGGCAATCTTGGAGGTGCACAGCCTCGTGACATGACTGCAAATCAAACAGCTACTTCCTCTCTGTCTGGTCCATTACTTAAGACGCCAAACGAAGAACTTGAAAATCCTGCACTTGGTTCTCAGTGCCCTGAATCTGAATCACCTGTTCCTGGCCCATCTAATCAGGCAATTTTCGACGAACAAAGACAAACTCCTGTGTCTTTTGCTGAAATAGCAACGACCCCAACTATTGCCCCATCTTCAAAGCCAGGTCGAAGGAACAGAAAACAACGTGCTACTATATTAACATCAACTCCATTGAAAAGTATTTTAGAAGAGAAAGAAAAGAAAAAGAAAGCAAAAAACAATAAGACTGAAAAAAATTACAAAACAAACACTAAAAAAGCAGCAAATAATAAGAATATAAAAGGAAAATCTTGCAAACGCAAAGTTTTGCAAGAAAGTTCTTCGGAGACCGAAGATGAAGAACATCAAAATTTTTGTAACGACGACAGTGATGATGAACTGGACGTGGACGGTGAAAACAACTATAACAAATGCAATATTTGTGAAGAATTTGGACGAAATAACGAAATGTGCTATCGCTGTACCATATGCGGACTATGGTCTCATGCCATGTGCTCTGGATGGGATTCTCCAAAAGGATACATCTGTGATTTATGTGCCTAAGACTAAAATCTGATGTTTACTCATAGTTATTATTTCTAATAAAATTTATGCAGTTAAGCAAAATTTGAGCGTCATTACCCCTTTACATGAGTGGTATTACCCATAATCAAGGGCATTGGCGCTCAAACCTGTTTTTTTTTGTAAGTGTTTCCACTGATTATCAGTGAAAGATAACTACGTTTTGTGTTAAAATGTTGATTACTAAATAGTTAAACCTTTGTTATTTTTTCATACTTTTATTATAAATCAAAATATAAAAAAATAAAGCGTTTTTTCCTTAAGTGAACGCCATTACCCCTGCTTCCCCTACGTGTAGAGTTATTTCGACAACAAGAAACTTAAAACATGTCTAAAATGGTAAATTTTTGTAGTAATCAACTTAAATTCTCCACTTTTCTTCTACAACCCCTTTAAATACGGCAAAGTTAAACATCAAAGTTACTATCAACGCTAAATTTGCAACGATGTTTATAAATGACAATTTCAGCTCCATTCAACTCTAAAAGCAACGTCAGCGGGAACTTCAACGTCAACACTAAGTTTATAAATCCCACTGTTAAGGTCACCCAAAAAGATGTTCATGGAATAGTTCCAAATCTGACAAAAATCTACGATGAATTTTCTGCAGAGGACATAATTTTGGAAATTTTATGACTGAGGCGCCACTTCCAAGCCGCCAGCATTTTTTCCCAGGAAGTGGCTCAGTGGACTACATTGATGTTTTTCAGATTGATCGTAAAATGGGGCTATTCTGAGTCTGTTCCGATTCTAGCGCTGTGTCTAAGATTGTTTTAACCATTTGTTTCGGTGGCTTCATGTGAAAGAAGCTTTTCAAAATTAAAATTGATAAAATCGTATCTAAGGTCCACAATGAGCTAAGCGCGACTAAACAATATTTCCATTTTATCAATTGAAAAAGAGAAGTAAATGTTGATAATGTCATAGAATATTTTGGAAAAATAAAGACCCACACACTACGCCGCCACTGTCTAAATCCACAATGACCTCATTCTGATGAAATGTGATTTTCTTCATACATTTTATTTTATCTCTTCTGGACTCTTAGGAGTAACATTTGTTTATTAGTTTGAGTTTAATACTAGTGTCCGAGAATATAAAATGTATCATCTCGTTTATTATTTCAGTTTTTAGTTTTTTATTGTACAGAATAGGATTTCTGATATAAAACTGTGTCACATTATCATTTAACAGAGCAGTTCTTAATTTTATCTTCAATGAGGGTAGGAGAGTAAAATCTACTGCAGATATATCGAAATGCTGCTATAGTTGTTTTCGCATGCTGTTTTAGACGAAAATACAACGTTTTTAACATCGATGTATGTTTGCGCGCGAAATTCAAACCACTTTTACGTGATTGGCAACACTGAACCAATGTCAGTTGTCACTGTAGATGCTACATTTGTATATTATTGTATCTATAATACTTGTCATAATATATGTAAGTAAACAAACGAAAATTTTAATTTTAATTTAGGTAATATCACAACAAAACCCTTCTTGGTTATCAAAACCATTAACAATTCACACTTTTAGTTTTGAGAGTTTAGTTCAAAATGAATGGAAACAAACGATTCGTCATGCAAAAAGGAGCAACAAGTCGACACGGGGCTAAAGTGAAAGACATCGCAACATCTTCACGACATGAACAAACCATCGACAGCGACACGTTCTTTACTAACTTACCATTGATTAAACAAGCTGACAATACGAAGCTTCTGCCACGATATTCAGCCAGTATGTCTCCGATAACTTTTGAATATTAAATAACGCAGGATTTTACAGTCATGGGACGTAGTGACGACGATGGAGTTAATATGGACGATTTGGACCAACTGCAGCTTGATTTTGAGAAGCTGATTTCAACGTGTGCTGTTCGAAATAGGTATTTGAGGAATGAAATTGAATCAATCGATCGAGTGGAAGAGAGGCGAGATAAAAAAGGAAAATCATATGATAAAGTACCGTTTTGCATTCTTAAAGTAAACATATTTACATTGGTACATTTGTAGGGTTCTTTAAAACGAAAACGTCCTGATGATAAAGCAAAGCATAGAGATCTGAAGAATGGTACAAGACCCATTAAAAGACATTATCCTTTACCCGTGAACAGTTTAATAGGAGATGTGCCTTTAAGACAAGAAATTCCTAAAATCAACTTACCCAAGAATGATACTTCTGATAAATTCTGGGCTACAGTTGAGCCATATTGTTCTGCAATTACTAGTTCCCATGCTATGGTACTTTATTTTTCTTATAATTTGTGTTGATCCTTTTAAGTTTTTTTACTTTAGTTCTTAGATAAGTTGATTGAAGAGTGTTCACAAGAAATTGATGTGAAAATTCCAGAACTGGGTGATTATTATGCGAATGAATGGAATGATGGTGTAAGTGGTATTGAACAAGAATTGGGTTTAGGTTCCAAATCTGTAGGAATGGATCTTAAGAAAAATGGCTTAAGTGCGTAAGTATAGCAAAACAAAAAACAAATTGCGTATTTATCCCCTACAAAATCTGATTACGTCATCAGTTTTGTAGAAGGAATAGGTAGGCAAATTTTGGTGTTGTGTCTTCTCCATAGTCCCGACTTTTTAATTAACCGTTTGTACTTGATTTAGGATGGTTGACACATTTTCAAATCCCAAAACCCAGAGGTTGTTGGCGGCCTTAATTGAAGAAAAAGTGATGACGTCGTTTCCGGGCGTCACAGGAAAATTAAAACGTAACTTTTTATTCATTATGTGACTGATTTGTATACAAAGTGTTTATAGCCTCGGATTTAAATATAATCAAGTCCGCTGCGGGACCACGTGCTGCGATTTGTATGGACAGACGGCTCAAAAAAGATTTGGTTGAACAAGGACTTCTGAGTGTTGAAGATTTGTCAAAGAACATGCCAGATGATGAAATACTGCAAGAAATCAAGAAATGTCAGCAAGAGTTAGCCACTGTCAATGAATACAACGTTGAAGAACTAAAACGCTTGAAGTCAATTGTTGCCAAAGATTTGAAAAGACAAGAAATAAAAGGGGCTTTGGATAAAGTAGACAGCCAAGTATACCAATTAAAAATAGTCAATTTCGCAATAAATTAACAAAAAAACGTTGTAGGTGCTGGAACTATACAATAAAGTATTATTAACTAAGCAGAAACAAGTGCAACAGGCTAAAGACGAAGATTTTGATAAAGCGACATTTTCCAAAGTTTTAAAAGAGTTTGAAGTGCAAGCAGACGTTTTGCTAAAACAACAACATAAGTTACAAAAGGAGTTGTCCGATCTACATGAAGCTTGATTGTTTATTGTTGTTTTCTGGAACATAGGCATTTTCTAGTTATAGTAATTAAAACACACAATGAGATTCTTATACAATTTTTTGACACATATTAATTTACAAATTAGTCTGATATTTGGTGTTTAAAGTTGTTTGTCCTGATTGTGCCATGTTGTCACATTTACTAAATTACCTAGAATCCACCAGATGGCACAACCGAATTTTTATTAATTACTCTAGACATATTCGTTACACTTCCTAAAAGTTAACGTTTAACGGAAATAGATTAAAATTAACAACACCGACAAACGAAAGCGTTTAATTTGTACTGGGATAGGTTATACATATACAGGGTGTAACCATCACTCTGTATATGCAATCAAAGAGAGATGGGTGACGTAAATACAAATACCTTACACTGAAAAATGTTAAGAAAATTTCGTTTTTTGCCTTAAAAGTTATAAGGTCTTCGTAAAAAAATCACTCTTTTTTTATTCAAATTGGCACCATTGTGTGTATCGAATGATGTTCGTTAAGAAAATATGAGGAAACAACAGTACCAACCTGACAATCACATTTGCATGATGAGATGAACTTAATCTAAAAATCACTTACAAAATATTGCTAGGAATTCAAAATGGCATTTTGTTGTAATATAGTTCTGTCTGTTTAATAAAGACTACCGACGGCTAAATTACGAATTTCTTAAAAGTGTCCAATATTTCATATGGTTAAAAAGAAACTCATTTTTTATTAATGAGTCAGTAGGTTAAAATACTTTCATTAAGTTGGACACCTACAAAGTTAAAACAGTATACCTATTATCACTGGCTAAAATACAAAAATCTCATTTTATATATGTATATATAAAATTCTCTAAGTGTCAAATAAATACTTCAAAACAGCAGACACAAAACAAAAACAAAAATATAGAAAATAAAAAACGAACAATATTTACACAGAATCTGCTTATATCTAGAAATTATCACATATAGTCTATACAAATGATTATCATGGATTTTTTAGATATTGTGTCCTGAACGATTACTACGACCGAAACGTCACGCTTCTATAGCCGTTTCTGAAACTAGAGCAGCTCGACACATGTCATCGACTCATTGTCAAATAAATAAAAAAAGATATGGAATGTCGTCCCGCTCAAAAATCATGCCAACAATTTTGACATCTCTTTCTCATTTTGATTACGAGTGGTGTCTTACATTGTGTCCACGTACAAATTCAACACTCTGTGTATCAGCTCATATTGCTCAGCCGTCTGTACCATCCCTCCCCTATTCAACCTTAATGAACACAAAATGGCCAAAACGTCAACATTGAAGTTGGTCTTCAACTGCTGAATCCCGTTCAAAATCGCCAAAAAACAACCAGTCCGACCAATCCCCGCGCTACAATGAACAACAACAGGCGGAGTCTTCACGACGCCGTCGCTAGATCTCCGCCTTTCTCTCCGCATTGGTTTAAGTTTGGGTTTTTCAGGTTTAACCGGCGTTTCGGTTTTGTTATTGTCGTTCAACAAATGCAAGGCCATTTTTAAAAGTTGCTCCGGATTGGCCATTTTGTGATCTTGCCAGTTAGGAAACCAGTAGTGTCGAATATTCCGCGATTCTTTTTTCTCGGTGTTGACGATTTCCAGGTGACGTATGACACATTCTTCCAAGTTTTCTTCCTTGATGTACTTGATTTTGTAGTGTCCGTATTCGACTTCGTCCAATTCGTCGAATTTAAAAGTTTCTTCTTCAGTTTGTTGGCTGTTTCGATTCGTGTCGAATGTGAATTTGTCACGTTCGCGAGTGGTTTTTACGTAGAAAAATGATTTGGAAGCGGATTGGTCCTTTTTACCCAATGGAAAGTACAGTTCGCATTTGCTCCGCCCTTTTTCGACTAGGTTTGTTAACATTACGATGCAAACGCACTAGAGAGGTAACAAAAAGGTACTTAAGTGTGAAAAGTCATGTGATTTTGGAATCGGGTCATCCTTGGACGTAAATTCGTATGTCTGGGATAACTTTACACTTATACATACATTTTCACATCCAAGGTACGATCTAGTATCCCTTGTACTTACATTTGTATGCCACACCATCTCCCAGAAGTCTTGACATGTGTGCGTCATAGGGCCTTGAGTGGCTATGTAGGCGGTTTCAGTGTAATCCGGCCCCTAATTTAATACATATTTGAAAATTTAAATAAAAACTAATACGACCTGATGGGAATACCTTGATATAATTTGCATGGATGTAGGTCTGTGCACATGGTAGATGCACCCGACTATGTTCGTTGGGCAACACCCCTTTGTATCTGTTTCGATTCTGGCTGCCAGACACATAACACTTTTCTTGGAGGTTTAAAGGAACTTCCCAGAATTCCGAATGCAACTTTGGAACTCTAGACACCTACAAAAATTTAACTTTCACCAAAAGATTTAGCGATATATATTTGCAATGTACTAAGTAAGTTTTCCCTTTCAAGCTAAAAACAATGGTGCTTACAGAATTTCAATATCTCTATCCGTTTTATCTGGGACACCTGTCTACCAAATTTGTACTTCAAAAATCATATATGTATTTTAAACAGGTGTTATAATTGCAGCAGATCTATAATATTTGTAATTTGTTGTTAGTTCCACAGGATGGTCACAAATAACAGATTAGCGCGATGATACGTTGTTGCCAAACACAGTTAAATATTTGTTATTGATAATTTAATAATAATTTGGTTGATGACGATCCACTAATTCATTTTTACTTCCCGGAAGTATTGTAATAGGGTTCATGGGGCGTCTATCTCAATTATTTTAAAATATAAAAATTTGAACTCAGGCATCTTCAATAGATATAATACAATCTATTAAATGAGTACACTATGGGCATCGTATTAACTTCAGTTTCACCGGAAATGACATCAACTTTTTTTTCCTAAATCTAAAAGGGTACAGTTTGTAGTATTATAAAAGACAGCATTTTTTTCTCTTTCAAATGTTATATGACTACGTATAACAGTATTGATCTAGAAGATTTAAAACGCTTGTGAATTAAAAAAAAATTCGAAAAATTATTTTTTTTGCAATTTTTGTTTTCTGATAACCTCTATAAAGTAAAATCCAGTGGCGTAACAAACGGTCCCACAGCTTCTTTGACTTAAATTTTTCACTTATTTTGTTTATTGATTTTTTCGAGTTTCCAACTTTCGAATTTTTAGATTTTGCAGTTTTTCGATTGGAAATTTCACGAGTTTTGAATTTTTAATTTTTACATTTTTCAGTTTTTCATTTCTTCAGTTTTGAGAATTTTGCAACCAAGTTCCACCCTTCAACTTACAATGAATAAAAAAATCATCACAATTGAGAAGGGGTGGGTGGGTGGGGCTTATATTTTGTCAATTTCTTCTTAATATACGAAGTTTTTTTTGTCAACAAGAAACTGAAAACATGTTAACTATCCTGTTGTTGAAAGAAAACTCTATATATTAAGAAAAAAAAAACACAAAGATTAAACCCCACCCACCCGCCCCAATCTCGATTGGGATAAATTTTTCATTCGTTCTTATACAGAGGACATATTTCTCCAAATACAACAATTTACCATTTTTAACATGTTCTAAGTTTCTGGTTGTGAAAAGTAGGCTACACGTGTGATAAAAAAAGGCAAATAAATCTGTCAAATTAAACAAAGCATAACGTTAATCGGGGGTTAAAAGTACTGTTACGAAATAAACCGGTACGACGCCTATAGGTCTTCTAGTATGTATGAAAGCGGATGTCGCGACGGGCCCAGAAAACCTTCGAAGCGGCGTTCTGGATCCATCGAGAGAAAGATATAGGTTTAAATAGAGGCCACCTTCGGGAACGATTATTATTCAGCGAGTCCAGTCAGCAAGTCGAGTCGATTGAACCAGGGAGTTATTCTGTACATAATCGCTGTAATAATTAGTCGTGTATTTCGAGTTATTAAGAAATAAATTGTTGAGTTTTACCCACGCCGATTTTATTCATCAATCAATTTAACAGTACGGTACAAATGGGCATTACAATTCGAACAACTACAAAATCGAAAAAACGAAACATTGTAAATTCGAAATACTGGAAATTAAAAACGCGAGAAATCGGATAATTGAGAAATCCAAAAATTGAAAAACTGAAAATCGAGGAATTGAAAAATGAAAAATTTGAAGAATGAAATAAACGAACGAAAAATTGTAAAATCGGAAGAAACATTGAAAAAATAAAGAAAATGAAACGAAAAATTGTGAATAAAATCAAGAAAATTAAAAATGGGGAAAATGAAAAATAAAAATAAAGAACTTGAATATAACAAAAAAATGAAAAATCGAAAAATTAAAAATTGAGAAACTGAAGCGAAGAATGAAAAATTACGATAAACTGAAAATTTTGCAAGCATGAAATTGAAAAATTTTTAAAAATAGGGTCGGTTTAAAAAAAGCGAATTAAATATTGAATCCTCGATTAATTTAACATAGGACTAAAATGTAGAATATGAGCCCGTGAATGGTTAAAACATGCACGTTGCATAGCAACGGACCTCAATTAAAATTAATCGCGATTGACTTTTAATTCGCTGTCCAAAAACCGGCTCTTAAAAGTTGCAAAAACGAAAAATTATGAAACCAAAACTGAAAAATGGAAAAATTGAAAAATAAAAGAAAATGAAAAAACATCTCAAAAATTGGTCGAATGTAAATTTAAATCCACATTTTTCGAAAAACTATGAGATTTGATTTTGTGAATTTTATTAAAATAAAAATGTGTATGTAATGTTAAAGTAAATGTAAAAAAGCGTGTTGGCCGTACGTTCCAAATGAGTTTTCCCTAATCAAAATTTGTGATGACGTAATCAACATTTTTGCAAAGACACTTTGGATACGCGCAGTGTAATACTAATGATAACAGTATTCTGTTCCCAAATTTTCGGGAAAACGGAGTGAGCGGTTCCCGATTTAATCAATAAAATAAATTGATTCATTCATGAATTTTTATGAGTCACCCTGTACAAGAAATTTAAAAACTTTGAATGCAATGATAAATCACAAGTATATACTCATGATATTTTGCACATTTTAGATAGGATTTATTCGGCAAAATTTTGAGATGACGTGATCAATTTTTTGGGAGAGGATAAACGAATAAATTTTGCTTAACGATTTACCACATTCACGAACACCTTAAAATATTTACAAGATTTCAGAGTAATCGGTTTTGCAATTCCAAACTCATATTGCAAAATATTGTTATTCAGCTTTGAATTTTTTCCAAAAATTCTGGATGTCTAGGGTAAAAATTCGACAAAATTAAAAATAATATATTATAAATTTTGGAGATAACGTCATCCCGTTGGTGGTGAATAGCAAGATTTTAGTTAGCGTTTAACCATCTACATGCTATTCCTAACCTACATACAAAATGTGCCAACAATCGGTCCAGTAGTTTCGGAGATTACTTGTCGAATAAAAATGAATACAGACACCAGATAGACAGACGTACAGACGGAAACGGGAGACTACTACTACTAATTTCTTGTAGAGAAATAATAAGGATTTTGCAATTAAATTCCGCTCCTTTGGTTCTCGACGATTAAAAACAATCATCACAATTAAGATAGGGCGGGTGGGGGGGCTTATATTTTGCCTCTTTTCTCAATATACGTAGTCGTCTTTTTGTTTGAAATGGTAAATTCTTCTAGACAAATATGGGTCTTGCAGTTAAGCCCCGCCCCTCGATCTGACAACGAATGAAAAATTTATCACAATTGAGAATTGAGATCAGGGCGGGTATGGGTGGTTCCGAATCTTCGGCTTTATTTTTTTTTAATATACATAGTATTCTTCGAAAAACACGATACTTAAAAATATATTTTTAATTTCATTTCTCGTAGAGAAATAAGGATTTTGCAGTTAAGCTCTTCCCCCTTGGCTCACGACGAATAAAATAAATCATCACAATTGAGATAGGGCGGGTGGGCGGGGCTACATTTTGCTTTTTTTTTTCTTAATATGTGTAGACTTATTTCGACAATAAGTAAGTATAAAATTTTTTCAAACGAAAATACAAATGACCATGAGTCTAGCTCATCTCAAATAGAAACAGAAACAGATGACGTTCAGATTCATGATTTGAATTTCACTTTATTAAATAGCAATGACGATTTGGATGATAAACATTTACCTAAACAATTTAAATGTTGCTCACACACGTTAAATTGAATAGCAACAGTTGATATACAAAAAACCGTATCTAACAGCTTTGGTAATGTTTAAAAAATGTATAATAGTGTTTTTGGCAAACTATCAGCGATTTAAAATGCTAACAGCAGATCGACTAAAGCTTCTGATGAAATTGAAAATATATGTCACGAAAAATTTACTGTCCCTTGCGCTACAAGGCGGAACTCTTTGTTCGATTCTGTGGTCGTGATTTTGCAGATTCAAATCCATTTATAGATAAAATATGTGAAGGTTTGGGAAAGCTAAAATTAAAAAATATTGAAATTGAATTTCTAATTGAATATGTCGATGTAATGCGACCATTAGCATTCGCGATTGATGTACATATTACAAGGTGAAAATCAATGTTATTTAGGTTACGTTCTCCCTAGTATTTTACAAACTCTGTATAGTGAAAACAAATCTAAAGATCTACGATTTTGTGGGCCACATAATTTTATACCTACTTGATTTTAAAAATATCTTGAGCAGGCCTTATATTATAATGTAATATTGTTGAAGTTAAATGTGAAAATGATCCAAAATCTTCGTTTTTTGACTTTATGTCGTCAAAAAAATCTTGAAATATCTAACACCAATAGTTCTCAGGTAGAAGTATTAGAATATTTCCAATCATCTAACAAAGACGTTATGATGTTAAAAATTTCCAAATATTTTAAAGATATTTAAGGAATATAATGTGTTAATTCCGTCATCAGCGCCCATTGAAAGGATTTTTAGTTCCGGTGACGCCATCAAGGAATAAATTAGATGACGAAAGTTTAGAATCATTGTTATTTTTAAAACATAACAAAGAGTTGTAATTAATACAAGATATTTTAATGTTAGTGGAGTTATTATATTTAGTATTTTATCTGTATTTTTACTAATATAGGTATATTTTAGTTAAGTACTGTTTTTATATAAACTTACTTTGCCTTACACAGAAAGTAAAAAAGTACTTAAGTACTTCTTAACTACTACTCTAACTACGTAGTTAGAAATGTAGTTAATTACATTTGATAAAAAGTAATTGTAGTTGAAATTAACTACTTATTTGAAAGCAGTTTTAAAAACTATACATGCATGTAACAACGTAACACCTCACAATTTGGGACGTGTTCAGAGAAGTATCCTGAGAATGTATTTTGGGTTGCATAAACACAATTATTAAATC